ATTTTTGGTAGAATTCAGCTGTGAAGCCATCTGGTCCTGGGCTTTTGTTTGCTGGAAGATTTCTGATTACAGTTTCGATTTCCTTGCTTGTGATGGGTTTGTTAAGATCTTCTATTTCTTCCTGGTTCAGTTTTGGAAAGTTATACTTCTCTAAGAACTTGTCCATTTCTTCCAAGTTGTCCATTTTATCGGCATAGAGCTGCTGGTAGTAGTCTCTTATGATCCTTTGTCCTTATTCGCCTTTGGGTCACCCAGAGAGGCCTTTTCTGACAGTGCTAATGATGCCTACCCCCACTTACCTGCTAGCAGGTCCTTGCTTTACATGCTTACTGCCTCTTATCCTCTATCTGATGTTATCCTCATCAATTTGCAGGCTTATTTTGGGTCTCCTCCAGAAGAATGCAAGGGCCGTGAGAGTAGGGAACTACATCTGTCTTTACAGGTTTATTACCCACAATGCCTACCATGGTGCCTGGTATATAGTAGGTGCTTTATAAATATTTACAGAATGAATGAATAGGAAAACAGATGAAGGAATAAGTGAACCATTTTTATTACATAACATCAAAAGAGTTTGATAACATATTCTTGGATGGAGTGAGATAACAGTGTGTAGATTTCCTATTAAAGTGTCAGCTGGGCTGTCCAGCTGTCCAGGAATCTGATCACTTAGGTCAGCATGTATGGTGTACTTCAGTGTGTGCACACATTTCTTTGTTTGGTTCTCACAACAATCCCATAAGTAGTCAGGGCAAGGACAGAAGCAGGATCACTTACGTTTCTACAGGTGAAGAACCTGAGTTTAGAAAGGTTAAATTATTTTCCCATGTCATACACATAACAGGCAACAGGGCTGTGTCTCCAGCCCAGTCTTTGGTAGTTTTCCTGCTGTACCAGACAATGTCTGTCTGTTTTCAAACAAATCACTGTTTATTTAGTTATTCTTTAAAGAAACCTAATTCAGATAACTGCTATTGACTGTGAAGGACTCTCTTGGGCACCATACAGTAATCAAGCTGTGCAGGTAACAATTTCTCTCTGGAGAATCAAAATGCACAAATGATTCACCAACCTGAAGATACTTAGGTAACATGCCTTATTCCTTATGATCAGGAAAACT